GGTTTGATTCAGGTCAAGGCATGTACATTAGTTGTGGGCACATCCCCTGTGGGAGGCAGCTGGTCAATGTTTCTCTCTCATCATGTTTCTAGCTCTATATCCTTCTCCCTTCCTCTCTGTAAAAAGTCAATAAAATATATATTGACAAAAAGAAAAAAGAAAAATAAAGTCAGTCCTTCCTCTTAATTTGTAGGTTCTGTAGTTGCAAATTTGCTTATTCACTAAAACTTATTTGTAATCCTAAAACTAATATCTCTATTTTCCGGTGTATAAGACGACCCCTTAATTTTACAGTTAAAACATAGGTTTAGGCCTATATTCGCTGTATAAGACTACCCCCCACTTCAAAGAAAAGACTTACTTTGCCGTCAAGATCTGCAGGTAATTTTTGTGCAATTTTGGTCTTTTGCCTCCGATTTTCGGTTGACTTTTTTTCGTTTCAAAAGTCATCTTATACACCGGAAAGTACGGTACTCATGGAGTTTTCCTAGCCATTCTTGAACTTGTACTGAGAAGGAGAAAATTGAGTCTTGCCAGTTGAATGTTCCAAGCAGAGTTTGAATAAGGAAAAGCTGAAACAGCAAGTAAGTGTTTTTTCCATGGTCTATTATGCCAGGTTTTTGGCATTTTGATGCTGTTTGTTTGTGTCATTGCTTTTTAAAATGGCCTCAAACTTAGTGCCAAAGCACTCGGCTATACTTTATGGATATAATGTATGTTTGTTAGATAAGCTTCCTTAAAGAATGAGCTCTAGCGCTGTTGGCAATAAATTCAATATATATATATATATATATATATGTTGTATATATATGTGTGTGTGTATATATGTATGCATGTTGTATATATGTGTATGTGTGTTGTATGTATATGTATGCATGTTGTATACACACACACACACACACACACACAACATACACTGAGTGGCCAGATTTTTATGCCCACCCCATCAGTACTTCGTTGGGCCACCTTTTGCCTTCAATACCGCGGCAATTCTTCTTGGCATTGACTCCAAGGTTGAGTTGAAAGGTGATGCGAGGAATCTGACACCATGCCAGATGAATATCATTGTCCAGTTCTGTGAGATTTGATGATTGTGGAATCAGCTGCCTGATGGCTCTTTTAATGCTCAATTGGATTGAGAGCTGGTAATTGTGGGGGCCATCTAAGCAAGGTAAAGTCTCCCTCATGTTCTTGAAACCACTCCTGTACAATATGAGCACCATGGCATGGCACATTGTCTTGTTGGAAGAAGCTTTCTCCATTGGGATACGCCATCAACATGACAGAATGAACTTGATCATCAATGATAGTTGGGTATGTTGTGCTATTCAGACATTGTTCCATACAAATTAAAGGGCCAAAATCATGCCATGAAAACATGTCCACAAACCATAACACTGTCCATATTGAAGGGTTGTACTCATGCATGTAGGGTGCATGCTTTTATTCTGTTTTCGCCAAATTCTCTGCCATCTTCACGATGCAACTAGAAACATGATTCATTGGACCACATGACTTTTTGCCAATGCTCAACTATCCAATCCTTGTGTTCCTGTGTGAATTGGAGACATTTTATCTTGGTAAATGCAGACAGCAAAGGTGTTCGAACCGGCCTTCTGCTTGCATATCCCATATGATGTTCTGAACCACTAATTTGATTACAAATGTCAGGTGGTCATAATAATCTGGCTATTCACTGTATATTAACTAAGATGTCTTTAAATAGAAACACAGATAAAAAGGGGTTATGTACTAACTGATGGATGGGAATGCTATGACCAGAGGCTGGAAAAAGACTAACTGCATTTCTACAGGGAATAATGCTTCAGTACTTGCTAGTAAAGTGTTTGTGCCACTTAGAATATGAATGGGATTTACTATGTGTAATATCTGTCACTTTAAAAAGGAAGTAGCGTGTTTTTAGAATGCAATGAAGAATCTACACTTAAAGATAATTAAAGTAATAGATCACCAAATAGAAAAATGAACATTTTTAAAAGAGCTTATTTATAGAGAAGAAAATGATCACATAAACAAGAAAAGGTGCTGACTTTAATTAACAATAGGGAGAAAGAAATTCAAATCAAAAGAATTATGTTTTATGCATGAGATTGTCAAACTATTGTAAATTTGATAATAGTTCCCAAGTATTGGATAATTAGTAATTACTTTTAATTGGAAAGGGAAAGTATTGAAATTTTTAGGGAGTGTTCCCTATTGGTCTATTCCAGGGAATATTCTGTGATGTCCATAGATTAGACTGCAGAGAAGAGGGTGGGTGGGGGACTATTTTTCTGCAAAGGGCCATTTGCATATTTATAACATCGTTAGAAGGCCATAAAAAATATCAACTTAAAAATTATCCTGCTGTATTTGGTCAAATATTTAAATTACTCACCCGTAGTTCCTTGGCAGGCTCAGACAATGCTTTTGAGGCCTTATATGGACCTCAGGCAGGCCTTTCCCCACCTGTGGATTAGAGGATCACTTTAAGAAATGCCTGCCACTTACACAAACACTCAATAAATATTATTAAGGGAAACTTAGATAATTATGGAGCATCTGTCTACTATAATAGCATTTATGTTTTAGATGCATCATTCAGAGAGTTGTTTTTAGAAACAAAGTTGGATATTAATTTAATCAATGGGCCAAAATTGAGTTGTTAATAGATCATGAACTCCGATTGTCCTCTTGCTAAATACCTGAGTTACAATCTAAAGAGGGGGGTGTGGACCTAGCAGGTTCTCTCAGTGGTTAGAACAATGGCCCCCAGACTGAAGAGTCTCATGTTTCATTAAGGTCAAAGGGCTTACCTCAGTTGCAGTCTGTTCCTAGTTCAGGTGCATGCAGAAGGCAACCAATCAATGTGTCTCTCTCACATCAATGTATTTCTCTCTCTCTCCCCCTCCCTTCTACTCTCTCTAAAAGTGAATGGAAAAACTATCCTCTGCTAAGGATTAACAAAATAATAATAATAATAATAATAATAATAATAATAACAACAACAATAACAATAAGATGTGATCTCCAAACATTCTAGTAAAAGGACCTACATAACACAAGTTTATTTTTCTTTAGAGGAGACAGACTGCACTTAAGTGTGACTGCCCTGTGCAGACCACTGCAGCCAGTGAGCTCCTCAGCCTGAGGTGTGTTTCACAGAATTCGTTTCAGAGAAATCCTTGTGTAAACCATTCACAGAACTCAGGGGTGAGTGCAAGTTAAGTCAAGGAAATATCTTCTATTTAGGTGCTAAACATATTTTATCTTTAACCTACTAAGTTATACTATTTGTAACTCATAATCTTACTAAGCACTTTTATGAATCATCAAGGTGTAATCTGTGGCTATTTTGTATATTTGTGATTGTTTGATGTATTTTTATGCCTCAGAAGGTAGTTGTCAAATAACATGTAATTTCATAGCAAAGTATCTAAAAGATCCAGTGTTTGCTGCTATAGTTATTGCTGAATAGTGAACATATGGTCTTCATATAAATATACATTTACACATACTATAGGTAATGAGAGTATTTGAAATATATATTTATTTGAATACTATAAATGCTGTCCCTTCATAATTTTTAACTTTTATACCTGATTTTAAGTTATTAAAAATGATTAGGGATACAGATCTAAGGGAAATGAGAAAGCTCACTGAAATAATTATTTTAGACATCAGACCCCAATTGTTTGATCAATTAAATGTATTTCAAAGCATAATTTTCCATATGATGCTGGTTGTCATTTCAATTTAGGTTTATAATACATCTTAAAGTATGAAAAAGTTCCTACAAATTCTGACTGGACTCTGAATTTAATTGACAATTCTGATCTTTTTACTTTTTTCCTTCTTTGGAAATGAAAAGCACCCTAGCTGATTTGGCTTTGTGGATAGAGTATTGGTCTATGGACAGAAGGGTTCTGGATTTGATTCTGGTCAAGGTCATATACCTTGGTTGCAGACTCCATCTCTGCCTCTGTTCTGGGCATGTGCATAAGGCAACCAATCAATGGGACTCTCTTACATCCATTTTACTCTGTGTGTCTCACCCTCTCCCTTCCTCTCTCTGAAAAATCAATGAAAAAATATCCTGGGGTGAGGATTAAGACAACAAAACTAAATAAAAGATGTTTTCAAGGGAAAAGAAAAGAAATTAAAAGTCAGCTCCTAGTACTGTGAAAGTAATCTTAGTAAATTCAAATGACTAAATATATTTTAGTCATTTGATTAAAATTAATCTACTTTTTCATATTTAAAAAAAGCATAAGAAAAAACTTAAACTTTTAGCTTATATTTTTATATCAGAAATATGGATTACTTATAGGGAATGATACTTATAGAACATTCACTTTACTATTATAGTGATAATATATGTATATTTAAAAATTATGTCACTTCAGAATTTGTATAAATAGAAGTTAATTTAATCCTCAAGAATTTAAAAAAGGACAATTTCTTTTCTAATGAATCTTCATTGGTTCAATTTGTATTTGTTTGTTTCCTTATTTGTTTGTTTTAAAGGAGAGAGCTAGGTTTCCTTGACCATCTCTCTGAAGTCATTTCATAGAACCATTCTGGCCATCTTCTCAGATTTATTGACTAAATAGATTTGTGGGGTAAATCTCACTTCCATACTCACTAACTAGTTACTGAAAAGAAGAATGGGGACAATTCTGATTGATTTAGAACAACTAAGACTAGTAATAAAATACTATATCCCACATCCTGGAAATGGATATATTTGTATTTGGATAAGGACTAGGAGCTGAATGTGTAATTATGTAAGTCATCTAGTCAGAATTATGTCTGTTGTGAAGCCCAAGAACTCTTTCTGGACTCCAGATTTTCATCTGTGTCATAGCATAAATAGGTTGTCTTGCTTTAGTGAGTATTGCAGAGAAAAAAATATGGACATCACTACCCTCATATAACTGTTCAGAAGCCTCTCAGCAACCCATGCCCAGAAATGACCTGTTGCTAATTCTTCCAGAAACATGGATGGCATCTTGCAACTCTTCCAGAATAAACTCATCTGCTCCATCTGTAGAAACGGCTTTGTAGACCCCATCACCATAGACTGTGGGCACAGCTTTTGCAGGCCCTGTTTCCACCTCAGCTTGCCAAACAAGTCAGTTCTGTATCACTGCTCTGAATGCCAGAAAGAAATCCAGCAGAAAAACTTTCACACAAATGTCCGTCTCAAGCAAATGGTTCTCAGTGTCAGACAAGCCAGCCTGTGGCATTTCCTGCGCTCTACTGAAAATAGGTGTAGGATACACATGGAGGCAAAGCAGATTTTCTGTGAGGACCAGAGGAGCCTGTTCTGTTTGCACTGCTCTACCTCCCAGGAGCATGGGGCTCACAGACATGGCTCAGCAGAAGAGGCGGCTGAGCAACACAGGGTAAGTGATGCCCTTTTGGACTCACTTCTGTAAAGTGGGTATGAAATTTCTGTGGGTCTGTTTCCTTGGGGATGAGATTACTCCATCCAGGTGTTTCTTTCAGAATCTCTGACCTGGAATTCCTTAGTGTGAAGTCTCCCAGATTTCACAAATATGTGATGTAAACAAGGCAATTCTATAATGATTCCCTGTTTTCAATGGCTCTGATTTATCACTCATTTTGTGGGTCCTACCTCTTCGGTGGCTAAATGTTACATTGTCCTCTTCATTGGCTCTATTTGACTCTTGTGGTTCTTTTGCAGGAGAAACTCCTCAAGACAATGTGCTCTTTATGGGAGAAATGTCGTGAAAATGACAGGATGCTGAATGTGGAAACTGTCACAATCTGTTCTTGGGAGGTTAGTATTTGCATTTCTCCAACCTGCAGCATGAACATGGGGTGGTTGGATGAGTGACTTTAAAATAGCAACTTCCTTTGACACTATACTGTTCTTTAGGATTCAATATGGGAAGGGTGATCAATGGGGAAAAGGTAGATATATAGTTGGGCTCTTAGTCAGGGCTTCTAACAAAATGACAGTTGTCATATAAAACATGCTGATTTGTTCCCTGGATAAATAATATTTATCAATTCTATACTAAGAACCACAACAGACTGGGACATTTCACAGAGTGCCATATGTGGAGGAAAGGGGTAAATAATAGGGCATAGGAAACATTTGGCAGCCATTGAAAATTCAGATGAAGGCAGTATAAACATTAATGTGAATGTTGTTGGAAAAGTAGTATTTGAAAACAGATGGAAAATTTCAGGAAGAATGAACAGTGTTCCCAATCCAGGGAAACCCTGAACTTAACCCAAAAAATTAATTTTGAATCTATCTATCTATCTATCTATCTATCTATCTATCTATCTATCTATCTATCATTTATCTATCTATAAAAGCCTAAGCGACCAAACCATGTAGGCCTGGTAGACTGGTTGCTATGATATGCACTAACCACCAGAGGGCACATGCTCAACACAGGAGCTGCTGTTGGTGTTGAGTGGGCTCCTGTGACCCCTCCCCCTGGCTGGCCAGCCAACCTCCTGTAGTTTCTCCCCCTTGCCAGCTGGCCAACCACTTGTGATTTCTAACCCTGGCTAGGAAGCCCCCCTCCAATCTTCCCCAATGGGGAGGGTGGCTGGCTAACCTACTTCAATTCTACCACCTGCTGGCAAGCTCCCCCAATTGGCTGGGATCATCATCCAGGCCAAGGGACCCCACCTGTGCATGAATTCCTACACCTGCCTTTTAGTAATATATAATGTCTGAGGAGAAAAGTGATGAGAGATGAGGGATACATATAAACATTCCAAATATAGACCTTTGTATCTAAATAAAAGATGTTTCAACACTTTAGGAGAATTAAAGAATAATGGATTTCCTAAATATGGATGTTTATCTTGAAGGTGTGATATCTATTATAAATTTACTCAATACATATTTTATGAGCACCTTGTCTGTATCAAAATTGATCTAGAAAATAGAGCAATAAGCCAAGTAGAAACTATCCTTGCCCTGATAAAGCCTATACTCTAAATCAAAGGGCGAATATTCAACATGTATATAGTATAATACATGATGCATGATAAGTTCTTTGTAGAATAATAACGGAGTTGAATAATAAAGCAGTAAGGAGAAAGAGGAATACAGGAAGGTAGGGATGGCAGATGAGAGTATGAGTTCTAAATAGGATTAATATCAGAGAAGACCCCACTGAAAATTTCACCTTATAAAAAAATATCTCTGAAGAGGAAAGCAACCACAGGGGTATATATAGAGAACATTCTAGATGAAGAAATTAGCACATGCAAAGATATTGCAGGCAGCCATATTGGGGGCAGTTGAAAAGCCAGAAAGATCTGAGGGAGCATCAGAGTGAATTAAGAGAATGAAAGGAAATAAAATCAGAGATAATGGGAGTCAGATTGTTAATGAAACCTCCTCAGGATAGGATTAAGCTGGATGAAATGCAAGGGGATGAGCATATCAGTCTGAGGTCACAGCATATAAAATGGATTGAAGTAATCTGCTCCAAATTTCAGAAACCAGGCTAACTAGAGGCTCTAATTCAATTAATATAAATTGAATTGCATGTTTTATGGATGAACTGTGTTGTCTTCTCACACATATTGACTGGAACATAGAAATCACACATTTGTTTTTTTTTATGGTTAACTTATCAAAGGCTTCATTATGAACGAAGTGGATATAATTGGTTGGTTAAAATTATATGGAAAAAAGGAATGAGAACATGTGGATTCTGAACCTAGGCAAGACTGAGGGTTAAAGGTTAAGTATAAGTGATCTTTATCAGGCAAAAAAGTATGAATGAGATTCAGTAGGAGATGAATGAAAGCATTCATGTTTTGACTAACTCCATGTCTTTGCAGATTTATGTGACCTCAACACGGGAAGCGATCAGTGCTAGATATGATTATTTGCCTCTATTTCTCCCTCTGGAAGAGCATCGTCTTTTAGAGAAACTGCAAAGGGAAGGCAAGGAGATTTTTGACCAACTCAAGGCCAGTGAAGCCTGCATGGCAAACAAGAGGGAGCTTTTAAGAGGAATGTATACAGAGCTGAAGGAAATGTGCAATAAACCAGATGAAGAGATGCTCCTGGTAAGAACTCAGAAGTAGGGTGCTGAATGTTCACCTGCAAAGGCATTTTTTTTCTCCAAAGGAAATCCTTCTCTTTTATGGCATTTGTTTCCAAAAACCTATTTTCATAACCTCAATTACTTTGTTGGGAGGGTATCACTCCTCCAAGGAACCCCACAAACCAAAGATCCCCCTCTACATTATCCATAAGAAACAAAACTAATTGGGATTTTAAAGGAATCCTGAGTTAGTTTCCCCTTCTAAAAGTCCATGATATAATTATAGACATGGCAATATGGAGAGATTTGGGAATCTGCACATGCATTGCTGTCATTTTTGGGTGCACCCACATTGGAAATAGAAAAGATGTCAGATTTTTAACCAATGGTTATGTAATGTCCCAGCTGAGAGGTTTGCGACACAGAAACAAAACACGGAATCCAGGCCATTAAAAGAGGGGAAGGTTTTAATCTGCACTCCTGGGCAAAGCTCTCTGGCCCGAGAGTGGGCCAGGGAAGTTCACACCAAAAAATGGCATAGGTACTTCTTTTATACAGCTGTTTAGTGAGGGGAGGGTGGAGGGCATGAGAGGTGTGGAATTCCTGCCTTGGATCAGGGGTCTAGGAAGGCCCTGGGAATGTGCCAGCTAGCCAGCTATCTTTGTCACCATCCACCTTGCAGATATTTGTATCGGCTCTGGGCTTCCCCCCTGCCTCAACCTAACAGGTTACAGGAACGCACAGGAATTCCCTAGCCTTATTCTTTCTTCACTTGCCCATGGAAAGTCTACTGGAATCGGTCTCCAGCAGGACATGAACTTATGATAATATGGTAAATTGGGAAGAGGAAGATATGTTTCCCAGAAAAAACAGAGGAGGGAAATAATAACTTCTGTAACTATTTCAAAATTGCCCACCAGAGTTCTAGAGGGATTGAGCAAAAAATAAATAAGAGAAAGCATAAAATAAAATAAGAGAAAACTAAAGGAAAAAAATCTCCCATGGACCTAGTGGAATAGTCATTGGTAAAAAGCACTAAAACTTTCTATTTTTCTCCACAGGATTTTGGAGACATATTGCAAAGGTGAGTCTACACCTTGATACCAACTAATGTTCTTTCAGACTTTTCACAGATACCGGGCAGGATATGCTAAAGTGAAGGCAGAACTTACAGGGATCTTGATAGAATTTTTTCCCATATCTATTTCCCCCTCCCCAACTCCATGAGATGTGTTTTCATTACCATACTGAGTGATTTTGTTCAGCAGTTTCAATGGATATAAGTTGCAAACAAAAGCACCAAAAAACTGAATAAAGGAAACCTCTTTATTCCCAATTTCCATTTTAGTTCTTAAAATCCTATACGTATGAAGGAGAAGCTGCTAAGTTTTCTGAGTGATGAGAAAGTCAAATACCTTAGAGGCAGACCTAGTGGAATCTGGGGTGAGAGGGTAGAGGAAATGCCCAGCAGTGAGAAACCCCTGTGATTAGTTGTTCTATACATAGCAGTTGACAGTCCTGAAAAACAGATGAAAAAAAATTCTGTAAGTGAATGATGTGAGGCCCCTAGAACTCCTTGCCTCTACAAAGCAGATCCCTCTGCCTGGGAAAAGTTTCACAGCCTCTATTTGAGAGTGTGCACTAGACCAACTAGTCTTCAGAGAACCCCATCATTTCCAGATGGAGAGCATGTCAGTGGAATCCAGAATTTCCCTCTTGAATATCCTCAAGGACATAAGAGACTCAGGATCTTTACAAATTCCTAGACAATATGAGAAAGGGTTCGATTGAATTCTGGTTCAAATGGACTTTTCATTAGACTTGAAAATGAACGAAATATATAGAAGACTTATTTGGCAAAGCGATACTTCAGGTTTTCAAATTTATGGATTTAAAAAATTCTATTGAAGTATTTTATACATGAAAATAGTGGTTTTGTTTGTTGA